AAGAGGAGACATCCAGTGGGTCATCAAGACTGGCGGACACAAGGATTTTCTTGTGGTCAGTGTACTCCCGCGTGGCTTCGAATTTCTCTATGCAGGACCGCACTACTGGTAAGATCTTTGACAGCACAAAAGGGTATCCTGGTGAAGGACCAAACAATGATGACAATCCTTCCTCTAAGGGGAACTTACCCTGGATCTCGGAAGACTACCTCGACGAAGTGGTGTCAAAAAAGATGGAAAGGTCTTCAGGTATGGATGGGTTTGTTCCGGGAAGTGAGGGACCATTGGAAAAGGTAGAGGTGGAGAATGTTACTGCCTCTAAAATTCTTATGGCTCTTTGGAAGAAGGGACATAGAGTTGGTTATAGGAGGTTGTGTCGTTTGAACGCATCTGGATGCAAGGTTGGAGCAATGAAACGTCCAATCAAAAGGGTGCAGAAGATTGGCACTAGAAAGGCCTTCACGAAGATGTTCAATGTTTTTGGATCGTCTCAGCATGGCTCAGGAGTTGGCGGAAAACCGATCATGAAGGTGGTAGGACCAAGGCCAGGTTTTCCAGCTGTACTCCAAGCACCAAATACTGATAGCACGTCGGGTGAAGGGAGCAGTCCCCAGGTACATGGCAATGTTCATGTAGAGCACAATCGCCCTATGGACCGGTATGAGGCAGAGCGCTTGGAGAAGAGGAAGAAGGGCTTCTGCTATTGGTTCGGCAAGGGGAAAGATCGCTGCAAATTTGGTGACGACTGCAAATTCATCCATTCCGAAGATGATGTGGTGCTACATTCGTATTGGTGTAAATACTATGTGGCAGGGAGAGAATGTTTCGCTGGAAAGGATTGTGGGTTCTCGCATGATGCCACTGGTGTGAGGTGCGTCCAGTTTGCTCAGTCTGGGAAGTGTCGGTTTGGTGACAGGTGTGTCTTCGAGCATGGTGTTCCGCTGGAAGAACAGAGGCCAAGGTCTCCAAGGACGCCCCCAAGGGATGGTCCAAGGAGAAAGTCTGCTGCAAATGGTGGAGAAAAGGAGATCTCTCCTGAACAGTTCGATGATGATGAGGAGGATTTTATGGTTTATGACGAAGAGACCAAGATGACGGAACTGTTGATGGAGGCGATTTCATTTCTGTCCGGTGGCAAGCCAGATTTGGCTCGAGCAGAGGCGGACCCATTGTTCAAACTCCGAAGTTCACTGGAGATGCTGACCAAATGGATCAAGAATGGGTTTCGTGGACCACTGAAATGTTGACCGTGCTGGAACTTCTCGAAGTAGTGAAGTCGTATGAGGTTTCGCTCGCGGAGGTGGAAGAATGGGTCAATGACCTGAGGATATGGTATGAGCGACCCAATTTGGGAGAGGAAAAGGATTCCAAAAGAGGTAAAAAGAGGTCCCTAGAAAGGGAGTCCAGCAAGGATATTCCTGCCGAAAAAGGAGTGGTTGAGACTTCGGAGACGGAGGTTGCCGTTGAAGAAGAGAAGAAAAAGGTAAAAAAGAAGAGGAAAGCTGCAGCTATCGAAGATCCTTACACTCTCATGGTTCCAAAGCCGAAAAAGATGCCGACGATCATTGAGAAGGGTGGATCAACATCCAATGTGGTGGCTTCTGCAGTGGAAAAATCCTCGAAGACGCGCACAAAGTCAAATGTCGGTGGAAAGACAAAGAAGAGGGACAAAAGTCAGAGTCCCAAAAAAGAAGAGGTGGTAATGGTGCAAGATCCTGAGGAAAAGGATCGTCCATCTGATGCGGATGCACCAGGGTCTGCCACTGCGAATGCAGAGCTGGGTCAATCTTGCCAGGCGATTGAGGACGCAAAGAGAGAAGGATTGGTATCCTCAATTCAAAGGGGCGTACAGGATCCTGTTCTTACAGTTCGGACCTGGAGTATATTCTGCTGCAACTTCACCTCAAGATTGCCAACAATCGGAAAAAGAAGTGATTGGATGGTATGGATGAAGGGATGGTTTTTCTCTTTCTGGAGACAGGTGCGCTGGAACAGCCAATGTGCTGACAATGTGGTGGTTACTATTAAGGGTATGGAAATCCCTGATAGTAGAAGTCAGTAGCTTTTCGCGTAGCGAAGACCACGGTTTGTGGTGAAGAAGGCCAAGGAGTCTTCAGTGATGAGAGGATCATGGTGAAAAGAGATTCTCTGTGGTTAGTGGGTTTAGCCAATGTGCTATAATTTCGTCCTGGATGACGTAAAACCATAACATGCATTTCAAGCAGCTGGCTGCTGCCTTAATGGCAGTTTTTGGCCAAAAGATCTGCATCTCCAATGTGTCCTAGGAAATCCTAGGACAGGGGGAGTGCGGAGCTGCAATTGGTATTGTAGAAAAGAGTTAGTGTTGAGAGTTGGAAGGGTTAATGAACCCGGAAATCATGTTTGGCTCAAGATGGGCTTGAACAGAAAGCCACAAGTTCAAAAAGCAGTGCCTGGGTTCTTAGGGTTTGGTAAGGGTGTGGATTCCTTCCCCCTTTCCTTCCCCCCTGGGTTGCTCTTATCCGTGTTCTTGTTTGTTTCTTGGTTCGATCTGGGAAATATAAGTTCAGGGCGATTAGGGGAGTTGATTTCCTTCCTTGGTTGTCCCCCCGTACCCTAAACCCTAAACCCTAAATCCTCAACCCTAAACCCTAAACCCTAACCCCTAAACCCTAAACCCTAAACCCTAAACCCTAAACCCTAAACCCTAAACCCTAAACCCTAAACCCTCCGGTCGGCAGACAGGCATACTGCTGTTGGCAAGCTGGGCGTTATGATCTTCGAGTCCCCTTGTTGTGGATGGCTGCATCTCTGACCACCCGGACACACTAGCCGAACCGCTCTGCCAACGCGACTTTTCTTGATGTTCGTCGATGCCTGCCTCTGTCCGATGCAGCTGACCGTCTTTATGCCCCTTACCTTAAGCCTTAAACCCTTAAAACTTAAGCCCTAAGACCTTTACTAAGGCCATAAGCTTGTCTGAGACCATGAGCCCTAAAACCTTAAACCTACAAGCTCAAACCCCAAGCCCTAAAATTTGTGGGGGTTCAGGGTTCCCTAAACCCTAAACCCTAAACCCTAAACCCTAAACCCTAAACTCTAAACCCTAAACCCTAAACCCTAAACCCCAAACCCCAAGCCCCAAACCCCAAACCCTAAACCCTAAACCCTAAACCCCAAACCCCGAGCCGAAGTATGCCCAACAACGCAGATAGAGAGTGCCCCGAGGAATCGCGGACTGCCCCCGGGACAGCCCGCCTCGCCCCGCGGCAGCAAGATGGATTTCACAAGGTTCTAGGCTGTGCTGAGGGTTTAGGGTTTAGGGTTTAGGGTTTGGGGTTTGGGGTTTGGGGTTTGGGGTTTGGGGTTTGGGGTTTGGGGTTTGGGGTTTAGGTTTAGAGTGTAGGGTTCAGGATTCAGGGTTTAGGAATAGAGTGTAGGTTTTGAGGATTTACGGTTTTCGCGTTTAGGTTTCAGGTGCCAATCTGGGATTGTACTCCCTTTCTCCATTGGTGAGTGACACACGAGGGGGCTGAGATGTGTAGGCTTAGGGTTTAGGTTTAATGGTTTTTGGGTTTTGGGGCATCATGCAAGCCTTACACTCAAAGGCCAGCCTTGTTCCTAGGTGACTGAGCGAGACAGAAATCTTAGCATGGCTTGCCATGAGGGGTTCAGGGTTTAGGGTACTACGCGGTTTAGCGCAGGGGCGGAGAGCTAGGAGAGTTCCAAAGGCGTAAACACACAGAAGTCTCCAAACTTTGGGGGAAGTGTTCCCTAAACCCGAAACCCTGAACCCTAACCCCAAACCCTAAACCCCACACCCTAAACCCCAAACCCTAAGCCCTAAACCCCAGACCCTAAACCCTATACACCAATGCACGCCAAGGCTAAAGCTCGTCCGCGGGGACATCGAGGCTTCATCTACCTTGGCCATTCTTTTTTTGAGAGGTAGTTTGAGGAGTGGCCCTAAACCCTAAACCCTACACCCTAAACCCTCAGACCCTCAGACTTAGGGCTGAACCCGAAACCCCTGAACCACCGCACACAGGGCTCCTTGCAACACTCTGGGGCTTAGGGTTTAGGGTTTAGGGATTGGGGATCAGGGTTTAGTGTTTAGGAGTCATGCTTTTTGGGCTTATGTTTCGCTGTGTTTTGCTCTTGCATGCCACAGCAAATAGTTTGCAAGTGCAAGTGCATTCATGAGAAGTTCAAAGACCAAATGCCACGAGATCTTGTTCATGATAGCAGTTGTAGTCTTAGGCCTCTTCCCACCATAAACCTCTAAACCCTAAACCCTAAACCCTAAACCCTAAACCCTAAACCCTAAACCCTAAACCCTAAACCCTAAACCCAATTGTCCTACGCTTTCATGCAGGCGATGTGCTTCTGAACTGGGATGATCTGCGCTTGGGGTTCAGGCTTTACAGGAGACAAGGATGGCCATGCAACGGGCGCTTGGAAGTTGGCTCTAGGTTTAGGGTTTAGGGTTTAGGGTTTAGGGTTTAGGGTTTAGGGTTTAGGGTTTAGGGTTTAGGGTCTCGGTTTGCTGCCCACTTGGCTCACAGCTTCATCTCATTTGACACTTTACGACACTTCTAACTATGATGACTGCCACAAGGCCCTGGCACCCTGAAAGTAGACTGAGCTGGATAGATGCTAAAACCGTGTAAAGGCATCACGTTAAATCCCAACATACCATGTTGGGTTAGGGTTTAGGGCTTAGGGCTTAGGGCTTAGGGTTTAGGGTTTAGGGTTTAGGGTTTAGGGTTTAGGGTTTAGGGTTTAGGGTGCGAGTGTATATAAGGTTACTTTTTAATATTGGTGAGTGTATATATGGGGTGTCCTTTTGGGGGTACAAGAAATATAAACCCTGCTTTAAATGGGTTGGCGGTCTCTTTAAGTAGCGTTTCTGTTTTATAGGGGCATATATTGGGGTTCTTATTCGGGTATCTAGGGGCTACATTAAGGCATAAGGGTAACAGCCAAAGAGTTTAGGGCCTAAAGCGTGAACGTTTCTCGTCATGGATGCAGAGAGAGCATGCTCGCAGTCCTTTGGGGAGCCTTCCAAGTTTAAACAGATTTGGAACACTGGTGAACACCTATTGGGTCTGCTCCCACCGGTCAAGATCTGGAGGAAGACCAGTGAAGAAAGACAGAAGAAGTTCAAGTTTGTCATGGGCTTGTTTATGAGTGCGTGCCTAAATGTGGCAGACTTTGTCTCGGATTGGTATGTGGTGCTGCAGTATGGCTGTGTCATTCCCAGTGCCTTGAACACCAGCTGCAACCTCGAATCAGGACGGAGCTGTGAATCTCATCCGTGGTGGTTTGCCTTCGGCGTGTTCATGCTGATTGGTTCCAATTTGGTGCAAAGTGTCGGTTGGGCCGGGATGGCTGTTGCAGGTGGGGACGGCTTCCTCTTAGAGCATCACTACATCCATCAGATTCCAGCTATCGATTTCGTATGTTTTTTGATTACCCTTATTGTCTTAATATGGAGCCCTAGTTATCAAATATTTTGGGGACTGTTGAAATCGACACCTAGGATTGACACATGGAGCAGATGGCTGCTGGCGGTGGTCATATGCTTCACCTTGGCATTCTGCCAGCTGCACTACGTGGTGGAGCTGATTCTGGCCTTCCACTTGGGTGACCCCATGACTGGAGGAGGATCTGGGGACTTTGGTGGAATCCGTGGCAGGGCGCTCATCTTCAGAGAGTTGGCCACGCAGATTTTGGAATCTGGACCCCAGCTGTACTTCCAGAGCTACGTGGTGTTTGCAGCAGGCTCGTCTGGTGACCTTGTGACGATTCTCTCAGTTGGGATCTCCATCATGGCCTTGTCCCACGGAATCCTCAACTTCTGGTTGCTGTTCCCTACTCGAAAAGACGCCTTGAAGAAGCTCTCCTACCGCGTTGTGTCCTTCCTCTGGCTGAGCAGTGATCAGGCAGTCAGGGCGGCGGGATGTGCCTTGGCACTCTCAACACACATACGGCCATACGGTCCCGCACTGGTGGGGCTGGCTGCAGTGATGACGATGGGCGTGATTGTTTGGACAAGGGCGAAAGACTACGGGACGAAGGACCAGCTTCTCCTGCATGCCACCAGGATACCCAGTCGTACCCCTTATTCCTTTTTGGGGGTCTAGGTTCCCTTATAAACCCCTGTAAGTAAACAAGGGCACCCTTTCTTTTTCCTCCTAGGTTGCTGGGCTTCCTAGGCCTTGTTCTTGGCCACATACTTGCTTCCAGCTGTCATCTGGATCGACAGAGGTGATCCACGTGACGGGTTGGCAGTGGAAAGGGCTTTGCTGGTTAGATGGGTCGAGATGGCTGGTGTGGCTCTTTTGTCTTATTTGCTTGCAAAGACCAACTGTGGGCACACACCAGTGCATGAATCACTGGGTCTGTTTGGCCTTGTGATCTTCAATTTCGTTTGCTATCAGGCCATGCAATACGTGGAAATTGGAAAGTTCCAACCTTGCGGATGCTTGCAGAGGGAGGGTGTTAGAGAGGAGCTTGAATTGAAGAAGAACGTGGGACAGGATGGAAGTGAAGATGCTGCTTACCTTTCCTTGGACAGTGAGAGGCAAAGAGCAGAGGCTGAGAAATATAGTGGCAACACCGGTCCTACATCAGTACAATCTGAAGCGAGACGTATGGACCCTTCGGGGGATAGCCCTCGGAGGCAGAAAGTAACCAAGAAAGCGAAGAGGAGAAAGCCGAAGTCAACAGAGGTGGAAGTCACAAGGACTGAGATTGAAGGTGGTGCGGTTGATGAAGGCGATGCAAGCGCTGAAGACAAAATTTCATTTGATTTCACTGACACTGAGAAGCGTCAACCGACAGAGGTCCATGAGGCAGAAGCAGCGCGTCCTGATACGCCTAATCCAAAAGCGAAGGAAAGCACAAATGGCATGCGGAAAGGCAATGGTCAGAAAGGCTCCCTGGGCCGAACTGCTAGGATGCCCAGTAGTGCCCATATTCCCTTTTGGGGGGTTTAGGTTCCCTTAGAAACCCCTTTAAGCACAAAAGGGCACCCTTTTTGACCCTAGGTTGCGGGGCAAGCCAGAACCCATGTACTCGACTTGTTGACTACTGTTGACTCGTCCGATCCATTGTCTTGCCAACTTGAGGTGCAGCAGCACGTTCAACATATCTTGATGCGACCATCATCGGTCACCGGGAAGAGGGTGACGAGGTTGCAGCAGGTGATGGCAGAGCGGATTGAAATACATCTGTGCAGGACCGGGGGCGTTCGCTGCCAGACGCAGGCAGCATCTATGAAGCTGTCTGATGGGCGTACTATAGGGGTCGGAATAATTACTATTTTTGTTTGTTCCTTTGGGGTCCCTTTATAGTTTTACTATACTAACCCGCAAAACCCTATTCTAATAGTTCAGGCCCCTATATGTGCTTTGGATAGCTTCCGAGTCAGCTGTTTTGATTACTCGACAGGCTGGAGTGTTTAGCATGGCCAACAATGGGGTCCCTGCACTTGCCTCCGAGCTCCCCGAGCCTTTCTCCTTGCGCTTTGAGTGCCGCCAGGCGGAATTCACAGCTTGACAACAAGAACAGAATTTAGGGGGCCGGAATAATTTCTAGATAGTTTGTTTTGCCCTTGCGGTCCCTTTAGAGAAATACTACAGTACCCCCAAAATCCTATCCTAATTGCTTAAGGCCCCTATATTAGCCTGACAACACTGTGGCATGAACTTCGATGTGCAGATGGAAGGCTACATGGTCACACGGCAGGACGAGCTTGCAAGGCGCATGAGCATGCTGTTCGCTGGGCCGCAGTTCCCACAGACGAGTGTTTAGGGTTTAGGGTTTAGGGTTTAGGGTTTAGGGTTTAGGGTTTAGGGTTTAGGGTTTAGGGTTTAGGGTTTAGGGTTGGCATCGCAAGCAGGGCGGTCAGTGGCTGGTGGAGGGTCCTTGCTGTTGCCGTGGCCCTTCCGTTGGATCGTGGCTATCGGCCGCGTGTGGCTTGCGACCATTGTCGGCTGTGGGGAGAGGCAAGTCGCGTCCGATTGTTGCGCTTCATGAAGTTGAACAAGGCCTCACGAAGTCAGGCAGGTGCCAAGACCAGCAGCGGCCCCGAGCAGCAGACGGTTTAGGGTGTAGGGTTTAGGGTTTAGGGTTTCTGCATCCGAGATCCCTGGTGATGATGGTGTGCTTTGCTGCGAACGTGTGTGAGCTAGCTTGCTGGATCGTCGCTGTGGTGCTAGGCTCCGTTCCAGGATCAGCAAGCTCATCGTTTCACACAGAACATGGCTCCAAAGGCCAAAGGACACTCGCCACAATGACCTTGCCAGGGTTTAGGGTGTAGGGTTTAGGGTTTAGGGTTGAATACGTTACTTGCAGATGAACGAAAATGATATCGCGCATCGGCCAGCCTATTTTCACATCGACTTTCGTGCGGAAACCCCAAAACCACTCCGTGACGCTATGAACCCTAAACCCTAATCTCAGGCCTAAGCCTCAAGCTCTATAAGCCCTCAACCCTTCACCCCAAACCCCAAGCTCCAAGCCCCAAACCCCAAACCCCAAACCCCAAACCCCAAACCCCAAACCCTAAACCCTAAACCCAAAAACTAAACCCTGAACCCTAAACCCTAAACCCTGCAAGACTCTATGAACCCTAAGCACTGAACGCTCTGAGTCCTAAACCTGAAGCTCTACAAGCCCTCACGCCTTTACCCTCAACCCTAAAGCGTAAACCCCAACCTTGCAGGCCTTCGTCGTGACTCAGCGCCACAACCGCGACCACGAGGTGAGCCAGTGGTGAGCAGTGGGGATTCATAATTTTTTTTGATTGTTATACAGCGTTTTGTTGTTTGTAGTGTTTATCATTATTCTTATTCTTTTTATTTTTAGCAGAATAATAATAATAGTTATTATTATTATTATTATTATTATTATTATTATTATTATTATTATTATTATTATTATTATTATTATTATTATTATTATTATTATATATATATATATTTCTATTTTTTATGTCATATTTTGTTTTTTGGCATTTTTGGTGTGTTGACGTTTTGCAGCCTTTTTTTCGTGCGGGGAATTCTCGCTCTGCTCCTCCATTGGAGGGCACCTGTGCTGGGGCCCTCTTTCCTCTCTCAGTCTTCGGTTTTTGGATGTAGGGTTAGGGTTTAGACCCCGCCCGAGAGTATCTTTGCAGTTTTGGTCTAATTGTATCCATGTCTATCCACCAACCGTCGTTTAAAGCCCCTGGAGCCGAAACCCTGAACCCAAAACCCTAAACCCTGAAGCCCGCCCTCGGGAGTAAGATCCGCAAGCTGCCTTCACGGCCCGTGAGGGTTCCGACACGTTCAGGGCCCGCTAGCTCGTTAGGGGGTTGCTGACCGTTCTTAGGGTTTAGGGTTCAGGGCTCAGGGTTTAGGATTTAGGGTTTTTTTTTATTGTTCTTTGGGTTTAGGGTTTAGGTTTGAGGGCTTCAGGTTTAGGTTTGTCGTCTTTTCTAACGGTTTAGGGCTTAGGGTTCAGGATTTCGGGTTTAGGGTTGTTGACTGTAGGGTTCAGGGTTCAGGGTTTGGGGCGTATTTGGTTTAGGTCTTCCTCGTCTTGTAGTTACGCACCTCTACACAGTGGAGTCCCAAAAGGGATGCTTGTTGCTGGGAGCTTAAACCTTCAAAACCGCAGAGCCCTATACCTGCAACTCGAAATAGTCTAAACCCGACCCCCCCCCCCCCCGTTCGCCCAAACCCTAAACCCTAAACTCTAAACCCTAAACCCTAAACCCTAAACCCTAAACCGGGCGGGCTTGCTTGGAGAAAGGGAGTCGTTGCATTTCAAAAAAAAAACCTAAACCCTAAATCCCAAGCTTCCTCAACTTCCTCAGCCCGAAGCCCGAAACCTTAGACCCTCAACCGCCCCTCAACGCGAGGGGTGTAGGGTTTAGGGTTTAGGGTTTAGGGTTTCGGGTTTCGGGTTTAGGGTTTAGGTCTCCGAACAGCCTAAGGCCCACAAGAGACCCTTTTTTTTTGGGGGGTTCAAAGGTTCCAAAATCCTCAGCCTGAGCCTAATCCCGACAGCCCTTAGGGTTTAGGGTTTAGGGTTCAGGGTTTAGGGTTTAGGGTTTAGGGTTTAGGGTTTAGGGTTTCTTGTTTTTTTTTTTGGAGGGGCTCAGTTGGTCCCCCCATGTCCAGTGGGGGGGGGGGGGGGGGGCAGGTGGACATCAAGCAGCTCATCGACAACATCTACCAACCGCCGGACCGAGCCCCCCCTTCCTACACCCCCAAAAGCTTTGAGGGTTTAGGGTTTAGGGTTTAGGGTTTAGGGTTTAGGGTTTAGGGTTTAGGGAGTTAGGGTTTAGGGTTTAGGGTTTGGGGTTTCGGGTTTAGGGTTTGGGGTTTCGGGTTTAGGGTGTGGGGTTCAGGGTAAGCTCTGAACCCTGAATCCTGAACCCGAACTGCACCCTGATCCCTAAAAGCTATCTGGGCTGCGAGTATGTACGCTTTAGGCCTTGCACGTGGAGGTGTTGTTTGTGGTCCACTGCGTTGTCACATCAGATGCATACTCAGCGTGACAGACCGCAGGACGAGAAGAAGGTTATCCACTACGCCGCCTGGCACGACCCTACCACACAAAAACTTAAACCCTAAGCCCGAAACGGCAACTAACTGAGGAAGTCCTGAACCGATTGAATGGCAAAACCTGTGAACCCTAATCCCTAGGCCCTAAACAATCCCGAAGGATTACTGATTCTAACATGATTCAAGGAAGCCTTGAAAGCCTCAACCCTAAAGCCCAAACCCTAAACCCTACACCCCAGGGTAGCTAGGTGAGACCCCTGTGCTGTTTCAAGGCTGGCTTTTGTTGAAAAAAACAGCAAAATGCGCCGCTGAAGCTTCGACCCTAAACTCTAAACCCTAAAACCTAAACACCAATCTGTTTCAGCTGGAGCCTGAAGGTGTCGAGGTTGTTATTGTCACAAAACCAGGGCTTAGGTCAAGACTGTCCAGGTTGGCTGTAGGGTTTGGGGTTTAAGCTTTCGGGCATGTTTAGGGTTTAGGGTTTAGGGCAAGTCTAGGGTTTAGGGTTTAGGGCTTCCAGTGTATGTGATACACCTGGCTCGGCAAACAGCGCGAAGCGAAGGAACTCTCGTGCTGTCTCAGAAGGTTGGCCTGAGGCAGAACGTGCAGAGCTGGGAGGCCGCACAGACAGCTTGTTCTGAGGACCAAGGAGGCGTGTCGTCCTCTCACGAGACTTCATTCCGCGTGGTCCCCAGCGTGCATGGTCCCCCACTGCGTTGCGTGGTCCCGCGCGTCCTCCGGGCCGTCCAGGAATGGGGCAAGGTCGAAGGAGCACGGTTCCGTGCCATGGTGGCCCACGTGTACAAGGGCATGAAGAAGTCCAAGACTTGGTATACAAGGACCGGGCCGGGCGGGTGTGCACATGTGACTGTGACAAATGCACATCATCATCATATATAGATATACATACATATATATATATAAACTATACACAGGGCTTGGCTTGTTAGGGTTTATTAGGGTAAGGTGTAGTGCTGCTCCAGGAGAGCGAGACAATTGCCTAGCTGTCGCACGACATTTTAATGTCGAAGCAAGACCCTAATCAACGACCTTCAGCCCCAAACCTGGAACCCTAAACCCCAAACCTTGAACCCTAAACCCCAAACCCTAAACCCCCAAACCCTAAACCCCAAAGCCTGAACCCCAAACCCTAAACCCCAAACCCTGAACCCCAAACCCTAAAAACCCTGAAGACCTTCGATCCCAAAAAGCTTCAAACCAGAACCCCCCCCCCCCCCCCCCCGGCCCCTGATTCACCCTCAACCCTAAACCCTATACCCTATACCCTAAACCGTAAACCTTAAACCCTAAACCCCCAAACGCCCTTAGCCTAAACCTTCAACTATCCTAAACTTCCCAAACACTAAGCCTCAGCAGCCCTACACCCTGAGAGCCCCTTTTCAAAGCCTACAAGACAACAAGGTGAATAAATAAAGCCCCAGGTCACCCTAAGCCCCTAAACACTAAGAACCCTAAACTCCTCAACCCTAAGCCCCAGAGGCGACTCCAACAGCACCAGCCCCCGAATTCCTCCAAACCCTACGACTGACCCCTGTAGCCCTAAACGCTAAACCCTTAGCCTTAAACCCTAAACCCTAAACCGCCCTAGCCCTAAACCCTAAACCGCCCTAAACCCTAAACCCTGAAATCCTTAAACCCTTAAACCCTA